TTGAATCTTTCCAGGTACGAAGCGAATTTCCCGTGTCCAGACAGGAGTTGCGTTTTGCGGATGTCAGCTTTTTCATTTCCTTCAATGCCAACGTGAGCTTTGGCCCATTTGAGGCAGATATGATTATTAGATGATTGAAGATCGATTGGGATCGGATCTCGATGGCCATAGAATTTGAGGTGTCACGACATTCAATGGTTTTAAGCGTTGATTCTTAATCACTGCATATGATAGCCTCTCGCTGTTGGTTCAATATCCATACAACTGCCGGGTGAATGGCTACACTGAGAAAAATGACACCCTTTTTTCCCCCATTTTCCGATGTAGCGGCACATGCAAAAAATTTGGGAATGCCTCTATGGTATACCACTGATGATAATGATGTTGTATGCATTCGATTGTGCAATTTACACTTTATACTTTACATTGTGCGAATATTTTTTTTTTTGTAACGCAATTTACCGTAAATCAAACCACGGGCCACGCACTACCACAACGAAATTTGGTTAATCGAAATGTGGTTAACCGAACGAAACATCGTGGTGTATACAGTTCCCATAACAAGTATAAAAACATAAAAACCGACCCGTTAAACTTTATTCAACAACTAAACATAATTCCAATTACAACTTCATTCATTTTACATTCATTTTTATTTAAATTTTTATATTAAACACTTAAACCACCACAATCTTAATCAGCCAATTTTTGTATAATTTTTTGTTTTGAGATAAAAAAAAAGATTACAATTTCTATCGATCATCTTCACTTTCATGTTGCGAAAATGTTCTTTCATGTAACCAAAATGTTCTTTAATGTGGCGAAAATATTCTTTAATTTCGAAATTTTTGTGCCTGTCGCTTGTTGCTTATTAATCTCAGGAATGCATAACGAACGTCTAAAGCAAAATCATTCAACAACTTTATCATATCCAATATTATTTCGTCCATCATCACATGCAGTTGCCCAACAAATTGTCTTTCACACTATAAATTTTAATATTCAATCACCTTGTTTAGAATTATCCTTCAATGATTCATTATATGATGATTTTCTCTATTATTACTATCAGACAACCAAACAATATTATTTGTTGTGTCAAAACTTATACAAAAAATTGGTTGTCAGTCAAATTCGCGATAATTGCCGTGAAGTTGATGAAATTAAAATGTCTGATATGGAAAGTCATACTATTTTGAAACGTTCATTGACACCAAACGATATTGCATCGGTAACTTCTTTGGGATATTTCACTCAAGAACTTTTATCCAAATTTGATATCGCAGCCAGAATAAATGAACTTGAATTGAATTATGCTATCAGAATGCGACAGTTGGATTCGTTTCAGAAATTATCGACTAAAATTCATAGGCAATTATCTCAACAAATGGAACGGCAATCTAACAATGTACATAAAGCATTTTCTCATACCATATTTCATGTTACATTGTCTGCTTTCTACATGTCAATCAATTCAAAGCTATATCAGGTTGATATGTATCTTAAGAATTTTTTCGAATCATTGAAAAAAAATAAAATTTCTAAAGATTTTGATTATCTTTTTCCAAACTTATCACTTTGTAATTCCAGCCAAAAATGCCCTCTTGAATATTGGAAGGGTTATGGTTGTGAAACATCAGCCTCAGATGAAACCAATGGTGGTAATTCTGTAAACATGACATTAAAATTATCCACCGTTATCGTTCATCCAATATATCAGATCCTTGAAATCGATCCATTTGTCATCATAAAATCTCCAAATGAAACAACAACTTGTTTTTATGAATACAATGGTCGACAATTGTTTTTATACGATTCAAATACGAATTGCATTAAAAACGTTATCATTCCTAAGGCACAAAATCCTTCAGCTAATTTTATTTTTGCCAATGAGATTGAAGATCTAAACATCAAGAAAACACGTTGCCCAAATTCTTTGGATTTTTTAGATGAATTTTGGCGCAAATCCTATTGTAAAAGTACCAATGATTTAAATGATATAGAAACTATACAAATCAAAACTGATGAATATCACAGCTATATCTATTGTTCCGGCTTTATATTGACGATTATTGATAATGAGTATGGCAATCGATCTTTCCCGTGCAACAATAATATTCAACGATTAAATCTCAATACATCATTCATGATTGGCAACATATCTTTTCTCGTGGGACATGAACATCATAATGTTCAACCTTATTTGGTTCCGATCAAAGAAGAAAATATTGAAACAATTTCAGAACAATACCTACGTGAACAACGTCATTATTTAATGCAAAAACATAATTCGAATTCGGTGTCGGAAGATATAAGTCTTGAAGAACTTAAAATTCTACTTGAACGTGAATATGAGCTAATGCTTAAAACTGAAGATGAACAAAACAAATTACTTAGTTTTTTTCATGCTCGATTCATGCCTTGGGTTATGCTAATTATTTTCATAATCGTTTGGCCACTATCTATTCTGATCTTTTGTTGTTTTTGTAAATGTTGCTGTTGTCGAAGTTGGCGATCAAAACCCAATCGACGTTGTTAATTAACGAATTGTTCATACTCACGTTTTTTAATTATTATCATTATTATTACACCAAACATAAAATTGTTGTTTTACATTTTTTTTAAATAAATAATTTTACCTAACCATTGGGTTTTTTGATTTGTAAATAATAAATAAATAAATAAACCATTGGGTTAATTAATCAATAAACTTAATCTTAATACATAAAATAACCTTAATAACCAAAACCAAAATTAAAACGATAATTTGTTTTAATAATACAGTGGCACCTCGGTTAACGAACACCTCTTAACATTAACGTAATTTTCGGTTAACGATTTTGGTCAGGAGACCGTTAACGACGATTTTTTTTTTGGTTAACGATGATTAAAAAAAAGTATTGAATTGTATCTCATATTGGATGCGGTTCAAGAAATGCACGCCATGATTGGCTATTAAAACTCACAATTGGTGTGTCTTTGCAGTTTACAATCCATAACATGTGAACAAATCCCATCATTGGCGTTTACTCACCGAAAAAATTGGCATGTGCAAACCACACAGTGTAAAAAAAACTAGAAACCAAGAATGAAATTTTAAAATAATTTAATTTAATTTTTGACAAAATAATAATCAATTATAATTTAGAAATATCAAACACAGACAAATATTGAGCTAAAATATTATATCAATTGAAAAAAAACATTGATTTTTTTCTTCTTCTTCTTCGGCTATCATTCACATTTATGTGTGTGAAATATGCCTGAATTTTCCTGATTTCGAGTTTTTTGATCAGATCAAATAAGATACCAGAAAAAAATCTATTTTTTTTGTTGTTGTTTCAAACCGATTTTGTAATGCACAGGGTTATTAATAATTATCATTTTTGCCAATTGAGAAGAAAAAAAAACAAAGATAATAATAATAATTTTTTTAAATAAAAAAAAATTTAAAAATAATAAAATAAAAACATTTTTTGTTTTGTTTTGTTACATTTTACATTATGACTTTTATGGTTGATGATGATGCTTTATGACAAAAGAGAAAATAATAAAAAGAAAAAATTGTTTGCAACTATGCCTAAGATGATTGTGATTTTTGTGTTTATTCAAACTTTATCATTTTCCAATGAAGATTATTATTAAAGGGCGCCATTAATTAACCACATGAAATTGAGCGAAAGAATGATGATAATGATTCAATGAATGAATGAATGATGGATTTAAGTATAACAAACATATAAATATAACAGGCACACACACAAACAAATGAAATGTTTTTTGATGAAAGAAGAATTTCATTTGGAAAACCACAACGAAAAAATTCTAATTTGATTATATCTATTCTGATAATGTGTTCAATAACTATTTTCATGACCAGTTAAGATATACAAATTTGATGGTACATCAGGTGTATTGGAATTTGATGGTCGAGATTCAAGTATAACAATTTGATCATCAGCACCAATCATTTTAAAACATCTTGATGGATCTTGTATATCTTGCACAATCTCATTGTTAATAAATGATCTGCCAGCCATACCATATGTATGAAATGCTAGTACTGAATCAGTTGATGTTACTATACAAACAAAAAACATTAGAAAAAAATTGAATTCAACCTGAACATTCAACACTTACCGATAGAATCGATATTAAAATCAAATTCAAATTCTGATGGTTTTTCTCGACTAGATTTTAATCGGCCATTTAAATCGACCAATTTTACTAAATCTAATTTTTTTTCGAAAAAAAAGATTAAACAAAAATGAATAAATTTCACAAATAAAAATGACTTACTTTCATATGCAATAAGAATAGTATCGGAATCTAATTGTTTAACACAAATTGGATTTAATGCATTTTTGTTTGAACGATTCATAGGAACCATTGTTTCAGTACCATCACCAAATGAATCCATATCTAAATCATTAAAATCAAGACTATGTCCCCCACCACCTAATGCTAAGTTTGATCGTTGACTACTACAATCATTATCTAATGTACGATCACGATCAAACCAAATTGCATTAGAATTTCGATTCAAATTGATTATGGTAAGATCAAATTGTTTTGGATCGTTAGTTCTTTTTACATCGGTACATAATAATGGATAATCCATATCAGGTGATATTAACATTTCCAATAAATATAATGGTTTACTTGGCGGAAAATAATGTTCAAATGTTTTCAATTGCATGAATTTGTTCAACGGGTTATACCATTGCATAAGTAATATTGAATTCTGTGTAATACTACAAAGATATTTATAACCATTATGTGAATTTCTTCCTACACAACATTTCAGACATCCTTTTGTATCGGGTACACGTTGTGATGCAAGCATAAATTTTCTTGGCATAAATTTCCCCGGTATACGATTAATCATTGAATCAACTGATGATGGTAAACCAAAATTCAGATTTTTCTTCGAATAAAGCTGTACAAGATCATGTCGATATAGCTGTGATGTTTTTCCCGATATTGACATCAGAACATTTTTAACAACATATAACCAAATTGTTCTTCGTGGAAATAATTGATCCAATGTTGCATCATGTAATTCATTTAAATTTAAACAGTATATTCCTTCATCACAACCTAAATTTTATTTTGAAAAATTAAAAAAAATCATTTATCAATCAAAAAAACAAATAAATAAAGTAACCAATTACCTAATAATATATGTTGATCATGTGTATCCGGATGAACCCAATTGGCAGCACAATGAATTTTTAATGGACATTCATTGAATACTTTGGAAAAACAAGCACCCATATGTACTTTTGGTGTTGGTGGTAAACCATTTACATAATTATGTGGATTATTAATTGAAATCGATTGACGATTCGATTTATTATTTAATGATTTTGATGATATCGATGTTGTTGTTGTTGTTGTCGTCGTCGTCGTTGATGATGATGTAATCAAATTATTCTGATTTGCTTTCAAACCATTACGATTACGTCGTTGTCTTGGTGGAACTTCTGGCGGAATTTTCGACAATAATGAATCATCATCATCATCATTGTTAACATTATTATCATCATCATCAAGATTCATCTATGCAATAATTAAATAATAACAAAATACATAAAAAAAAAGATTAGTTTTTGATTTATAAAAAAGAAATCTCATTTTTTCAGCATTAATTAGCAAATGCAAAGCTAAAATAAAATAAGAAATTAGCATCATCAGGGGTTTTTTCATACATTTGAACTGGGCAGGATAAAATTTTCGGGTAAAGGCGGTGCCGGTGGTGGTGGTGGATTATTATCCGAATTTTGTTCATCATCATCTTCTTGCTGATCATTATTATCATTATTGTTATGAAGCTTAGAATGTCGTCGTTGTTGTTGATTATTTAATAAATTATTGCCATCATTATTATCATTATCATTATTATTATCAATGGAAATTCTAGATGAAACAATTTTTTTGACTAAACGTTGATTATCATTACAAACATTTGATAGGATTTCATCCTGTTTGTTCAAGAAAAAAAAAACAATTTTTACAAAAATTAATTCAACTTCACAAACAAACAAAAACTACATAAGAAAAAAAAACAAAAAGTAGATCAAAAAAATGGAAACCAAAGCAAAGAAAACAAAATCAAAAACGAAAAACAAATTCTGAATTGAATAAGAAATTTTGAATTTCTTACGATTGTATTGGCACTCCAATTCAGATAAGATTCATCATTAAGATTTACTGATAATGGTCTACGTTGTCTTGATGATGATGATGATGATTGTTGTTGTTGACAATTCATATTTGATGATGATGACTCTGCGGTTGTATTATAATTACCTAAAATGGTTGATGTTGTTGCTATTGTATCACTTAAAAATCTTGATGATGAACGTCTTTGTTTTGGTGATAATTCTTGTTTTGTTGTTATTAAATTGAAATGATTATTATTTTTTCTTAAATGATATGGTGAACCTTTAGGAAATACATTAACAATATCACGATATAATTCATTTGTTGTTATACTATTATTATAAGATGATTGTTGTTGTTGTTGTTGATTTATTATCAATGATGGTGATGGCTGTGATGTAAACTGTTGTTGTTGTTGTTGCTGCTGTTGTTGATGAACACGTTGACCACCGTAAACAAACGATGGTCTTGGAACCAAAGGTTCCGGATCATCAAGAATTTGTGATGAACAATAATTTTGTTGTTGTTGTTGTTGTCGATATCTTGGTGAACTTTTAAATAAAAGCCTAGCAGCACGATCACGTCCAATTGAATTGAAAAAATTTTCACGATCCCAGCCACGAAATATTGATTGTTTATTGGAATTATTTGCAACAACAACATTATTTGTTGATGTGGTATCCGTAAAATTCAGATCATATGAACTACCACCATAAAATCCTGATGATTTTAATGCAAATAAATTCGTAGGATAATTATTAGCTTGTAAATGATGTTGTTGTTGTTGTTGATTAAGATTAAAATATCTTTGTCTTGAAGAATCATCAATTTGTTGTTGCTGTGAAAACAATTCTCGACAACAAGATTCACTTCGTTGTCGATAATTTTGTTGATGATGAATAAAATTCGTTGCAAATTGATTACTATTCAAATGATGCTGTTGTTGTTGAAGTAATTTGTTTCGATAACATATCTTTTTTTCAGGTTTTTTAAAAATTGATTAAAATAATGGATAAGAAATATACACATGTGTCAACAACAGACAAACAAACAAAAATTTACATTTGATAATCACAACTATGCTACTTTGCTATGAAATTACCTTCAATTAACAACAAACAAAAAAAACATGCAGATTTTCATGATCGAAAAAAAGGTAACCAAACACAAACTAATGAAAAAAAACATGACAAGCGAGAAAAAATAGCATTGCAAGAATTGATATACAGACACAAATCGAAAAAGGAAATCGACAAAACTAATCAATTCACAAAACATTTACCTTTGAAGGTGGATGCGATGCTGATAACGATGAACACGAATCGATTGGAAGAGTTTGTCTTTTGTTTTGAAAATTAAAAAAACCAATTTTAAACAAAATTTCACAAAATCAAAAATCAAATTATTATCTTACTGTGATGAATAAAGTTGATCATAGGCAGTTAAAGAATCCGAATGACCACTGTAAAATGTTACAAAAATTTTAATTTTAAAAAAATAATGTTTATAAACGAAATAAATGCCAAATTCTTAGGAAATGTTGAACATACCGATTAAGTAATTCTTCATCAACAATTTCTAATAATGATTTACGTCCACGATTTTCATTCAATGATGATGATGTCGAAGATGCATCAACAATAATTGATTTGGATTTTAATTTTCCTTGATATAAATGATTATTATTATTTGATGATGATTGAATATTATCACAGTCATTTGTTGTTGTTATTGATGATGTTTGTTGTTGTTGTTTACTACAATTATTATTATTATTATCACCTGGCATCTGTACACGTGTTACAATCAATGGTGATGGTGTTGAATACTGTCGTACAGAATGTAATTCACGATTCTGTTGCTGCTGTTGTTGAGCTGCCGATGATGATAATGAAATTGGTGATGGTGATGGTGAATATTGTTGTTGTTGTTGATGATAATTGTTAAAAAAATTCGAACGATTAGCTTGATTTGGTGTATGATTATTATTATTGTTGTTATTCCATCCTAATGCTTTGGAATCATCATATTGAACCTATGTTGTTGTAAATTATAACAAAAACAAATTTGTTACAGGGTAAAAAAATGTTTTTTTTTTTGAATAAAAATCTTACCGATCTTTTTGATGAAATTCTTTGTGGTGGTAATGATTGTTGTGCTTCTTCATATGTTTCATCTTCTTCATCATCATTTGAATGATAATTTTGTGGATTATTTACACGTTCTAATAATTCTTTTATTAATTCTCGAGTTAATTCTGGACGTGGAAATAAAAATCGATGAAGAATTAACTGTTCAGCTGATGGTCGTTTTTTTGGATTTTTTGTCAATGCCATTTTAACAAATTGATGAAATTCTTGTGACCAACGTGCTTTATCTTTTAATGTTGGTGGTTTAAAATTTGATTTAGACATTAAAAATAATGCACGCATTGGATGTAAATCAAACATTGGTGGTTGTAATTCAGCTAATTCGATTGCCGTAATACCTATTGCCCATATATCGCATTGATGATTATAACCACCTTTTCGTTCGACTGCAGCAACTTCCGGTGCCATCCAATATGGTGTACCGATAAATGATTTACGTTTACTAATTGTTGCAGTAATCTGTGCAGATACGCCAAAATCTGCTAATTTGACATCACCTCCTTCGGTTAACAATATATTGGCACCTTTTACATCTCGATGAATTTTTCCCACTGAATGAAGATAATGTAATCCTTTTAATGTTTCACGTATCACATAGGCAATTTGTTCTTCACCTTTTTGTTGAAACAAAATTAATAAGCAAATTGGCAAATGATTCATTTTGATGGAAACTTACTTAATGGACCTGTACAATGATAAATATCTTGTAATGAACCACCACCACAATATTCCATACAAATCCATAGTTTATCACGACGTAGATATGAGCCAAAAAATGCAACAATATTTGGATGACGACAATCTTTCATCATACGAATTTCTTGTTGTATAATTGAAAAATCATCACCCGGTTCTAATTTTATAATTTTAACAGCAGCAATTTCACCGGTTGAATGTCGTTTAGCCTTTTGATTACAAAATAAAAAATGCTTTAAACATGAAAAAATTATCAACTAAAACAAAAAAAACTAACCTTATAAACATCACCATAAGTACCGGAACCGACACGATGTAATAAATCAAATTCTTCTTGTGGATTTCTACGTGATATATCCAAATGATTTTGATTATGATTTTGACCATTTGTCAATGATGATGATGATGATGGTGAATATGATATAGCCATTGTTGTTGTTTTTGATTTCTATTTATCAGATTGTCAACAAAAGAAGATAAAGAAGAAATTCTCGGAATATACACTGAAAACAGAAAACATTAACACTATACAAATGAGTCATAAATGAATCGATTGAATCGAAAAAAAAGAAGAATTAGCAATCTTCATAAGAAAAAAATTCTTCAATAAAAATTATTATTATTTTGTCGTCATCGGACTACCAGAAAATTAAAAAATTTGCATGTTGTTCATAATTTAGTTGAATTGTGGATGCTTGTGTTGAACAGCATCCACCAGAAAAAACGACAACGACGACGATGACAACGATGTTGATATTTAGCCTTGAATTATATCTGTATATGTTTGTTATGGCAAACACGCAAAAACCGATATCATTTACATATGAAAACAAAAAACAGTGGTATTAATTGTTGTTGTTGATGATGATTATGTTGACAGAAAAAAATCGTTTATCTATGTCGGTATATTGCTTTACGGTATTTATATGAAGAAAAAAATTATTGCGGACAAATGTTAAATCGATGTAATGATGATGATGACGATTGGTGATGAATGATGTCAATGTAAAAAGAATTAGGTAAAACGAAACAAATGAATTTTCTTTCTTTTTCTTCGTAACAATTCTTTATTTATTGCGGTTACATCTTTGGTTGTTGTTCTTCTTCTTTGCATAGCATTCTATTGATGATGATGATGGTTAAATGGTAACGACCCAAATTTTAAGTTTAGATTTCGGAAAGATTTTCTCACAATAATGTTCACCAGCTATATCAACATAAACAAAACAAAACGAAAAAAAAGACATATGGTTTGTTCAAGAATTGATTTCGATTGATTCGTTGTTATCGATGAACAACACAAACAAAACAGACAAAAAAAAACACATCAACACACATATTACCAACACCCAATAAACATCATCGAACAAACAAACAAATTGATTGGATGCGTAGAAATTTTTGTATGAATAAAAACGATACCATAGGATAATCGAATCACATATATCAAAACATCAATCAATCAATCAATGAAAAAGTTGATTTTTATATGTAAATAAATATGTGTGGCTTTTGTTGTTTCGTGGATGATTCTTGATTTATTCATTCATTTAATCTGTTCATTTAATTTAAAACGATCATGATAATCAATGGTAATCAATTTTAATTTGATTCGGATAAAATCATTCATTCATTACTTACCATCATTAATAAACGATAAGTGTTGTTGACCAATTTGTTTTTGAAAATTTATTATTATTGCAAAGATTGTAATATTGATGTTTGTAAAATGGATAATTTTTGTTCTAATTTTGTTATCGGATAACAAAACAAAAAAATGAGAAAAATAACAAACAAACAAAAATTAGATAAAATATCAATTAAATAAAAATATAATAATTATCAGGAAACCATAGCAAAATTTTAAATGGAATAACTCCTCAAGAAAAAAAAACTAAGATTAAAATGAAAGCATCTTAAATAACCTCAATCACAACGAAGAATTTTATTTGAAAAAACATGAAAAATAAACGTTTACATCATCATCATTATCGTTGATTCATTCAAACAACAACAGAATTATAAATAAAAAACGAAAATTTTACGAAACAAAAAAGATGATACATTCCGAATGTTTACGTAATTGAAATGAAAATTTTTGAAATTTTGAAAATTTAGATGAGGGGAAAAAACAACATACATTTTCGAATGAATGACGCCGTTATGTTATTGTCGTTTTTAATTTGGTCAGCTTACTCGAACGTTTTGTTTATTGAACGAAAGTTTCAAACGATTCAATGACGATTTTTCGTAACGATGTTATGTGATGCAATGAATGAAACAACAGAATCGATATTTTTTTGATTTTGATCGAATAAAGAAAAATTCTCAAGTTTTCGGAATTAAGTGAAGATCAACCAACAACAAAAACAAACAAACAAAAAACGAATCGATCATTTATTGCGAGCAACCCAAATATCATTAAAAAAAGATAACTTGTTTATTATTGTTGTTGTTATGATTGTCATCAACCATAGATGATAAAGAAGAGAAAAAGGGTTTGTGTTTTGTTTGATATTTTATCAATAATGATATTGATGATTGTCGTTTATCAGTAGTAGTAGTAGTGGTAAATAATTATAGATTCCAATCGAATCAATGGATGATTGATTGAAAAAGTCATTCAAATCACAAAGAAATTGATGGATTTTTAGGATGATGATGATCATCATTAGTCGTTAAGATGTTTTTTCTGGTGACATGATCAAAAACAAAAGAAACGAAAAAACAAATTCTTTTAAAAATCATTTAATTAATTAATGTTAGTTAGACAAAAAAGAACTGATTGATAATTATGTAACCATTATTGATGATGATTTGGATTTTGATTTAATCAATTTTAATTTGTTTTCATCAAGTGAAATGAATGAGAAAAATAAATCAATTTTTTTCCTGAATGAATGAAATGAATGAAAAGCAGCAGCAATAAACAAAACCAAAAAAAGCAGAAGCATATGATCAATTTGGGCAATTTTTTTTCGAATGTTTACATTTATCGAATGTAACAATTCGCTCAACCATGATAAGAAGAAGTGGTATACAATGATGATGATGAAAACATTTCGTTTTTTCTTCTGTCAATCAATATTGTTATTATTTTCATTTTTCTAAACCGCTAGCAAAAAAAGAGAATATAGAAATAGTGGTTCGAAAATAGTAGGTGTAGGTATAGTAGTAGCATACAAAATAACAAATGTTTTATTGAAGGGGTTATTCACATCAACAATAAACTTCGAAAATTGTTTTTTTTTTTTGAAATTGCATGCAGGAAAATAAAAAACTTGATCTTATGATTTTTATATATTTTCGACAACAAACAAACAACATCAATCTTTTTAGCCGGTCATTCATTCTTTGTCATTCGAAAGAAAAAGAGTAATAATTTTTTTTTGAAAAATATCATAAAAAATTTCGCGCTCATAGTGATCAGACAACAAGAAAATGTTTGCTGACGCCCGGGTTACCTGATCAATTTCCTTAATTGTTCAAAATTGAATTTCATGCATGTGAACTTGTTTCATGTTGAACTTCAATTGAATTTATGTGCATAATAATAATTTTTTTTGTTCAAAATATTTATTACCTGTGTGTGTGGCATGGGAGCGATGACTTGACCTAAAATGGTGTGTAGGTGTTGTCATTGTTACACACATTGTGATACAGGATAATTAAGAAATAAGGTTGTTGTCTTTCAACAACATTGAAGGATAGTTAGTTTTTTCTTTGTTTCAAATGATTGTTTTGACTAAATGATAGAGATATCAATCATTTTTTTTTTGCTTCAAGACATTCAAACGGTAACATTCTTTATGAAAAGGACATGAATAAATAAATTTTTCAGCGTGATTTTTTTTGAGTGTTCGAAATTTTTTGACAAAAATCTGTTTTCATTTCAGGATTGAAAAACAATAAACAACAACAATGGCCGATGTTATTTTCGAAGATATTTTTGATGTAAAAGATATTGATCCAGAAGGAAAAAAATTTGATCGTGTTAGTCGATTACATTGTGAATCAGAATCATTTAAAATGGATCTAATATTGGATGTTAATACACAAATCTATCCAATGGATTTTGGTGATAAATTTCGTTTACAAATAACATCAACATTAAATGAAGAAAGTTATCATGATGATAGTGAATGGAATCCACGTGATGATCAACCAAATCGTGCCGATTCATTTGATTATGTTATGTATGGTAAAACATATCGTATTGAAGGTGATGAAGGGCCGAATGAAGCAACCAGTATGGCAGCATATGCATCATTTGGTGGTCTATTAATGCGTTTAAAAGGTGATTCAAATAATCTACATAGTTTTGAAGTGGATAAAAATATTTATTTATTAATGAAAAAATTAAAATTCTGATTCGCATGTAAAAAGAACAATTTTGACACCAATTCATTCAATTTTTCATCATTGATTTACCAAATAAAGTTTCATTTTTTTTTAAATTTTCTTTTCAAAATCAAATCAATAATTAGAATATTCATTGATACGAAATAAATGACCAGTACCATGACCGGTTACAAATGATGCATAACCACTATGTGGTGAAAAATCTAAATCAAAAATTCTGCCATAAGTTCGGCCACTATTACCACCAACAAATAATGGAAAATTTTTATAAACAGTCATTGAATTTGTATTCAAAAATCTGATTGAATCATTTTTCTGATTCGATGCGAATAATAATAATTGTCCATCATGATTAAATCTTACGGATGTTATAGCAGTTGTTAGATTCATAACGGATTTTATCGGTTTAGGATTTGTTTGTTTGATAACATCATTGAATTGATATAGATTTATAACGCCCATATTTGAACCAATTGCTAACAGGTTTCCAGTTGGACTTAAATCCATTGATGTAGCCGATATTGTATCCAAATCATTAAAACGATTAATACATTGTTTATTTGATTGTCGGATATCGAATATAAATGCCTGGCCACCAGTTTGTTCACCATGTGCAATCAGATAATTTGAATCCGGACTAAATGATAAACAATTAACATTACCATTGATTTTCATTTCACTGATTAATTCTTTTGTTGTTGATGATAATAAATTTATATTACCATTATCATCACATGCAGCTATAAATTGATTATTTGGTGATATTTGAAATTTACGTAATGAATATCGGTGTTTACCACCTTTTGTTAGCGGGATTCGTAGAATTTTTCCCACTAACATATCATAATAATAACAAAAACCATGACATTTTGTATTCATACCATCCGATCCAACAAGAATTTCTTCACGACCATTTAGGGATATAAATCTTGCATCCGTTAAACGATAACCTTGAAAATAAATAGATTGTATAATGGAATTTAATTTTCCATCAACTTGAAACAAACGAATCAAACCAATTGATGATCCAATCATTGCAACAGTAGAATTTCGATGAAATTGTAAACAATTTAATGGTGTACGAATACGACTTGATTGATTTAGATGTGGACATTTTTTCACTCGTAAAAATTCTTTATTCAATTGATGAATTTGATTTGGTCTTTTCAGGTTACCATAGGCAATTTGTTCAACTTGAATTTCATTATCATCGTCACTGTCATCAGTGTCTTGATCTTTGTGTTGACGTGATTTTCGTTTATTTTCCAATGTTTTTGATTGTGCCCAATTTGGTGGTTCATAAATTTCAGTAAATTTTCGTTCCAAATATTGACGATATTTATCTTGAGATTTTACTGATTTTGGTAATTTTTTACAATCATCCAATGCTATGGATACATCAATTTCATCATCATCATCAAACCAAACTTGTTTGGTTTTTGATTGATCATTTTGTTTACCACCATCACCATGTAATTTTTCAAACAATTCTGTTTTGAATCGTTGTGCCATTCGATCATCATCATCGTCAACTGGCATCGATTCTTCACGTTGTTGTTTATGGCCATCATCGACGATATCGGTAACATTTTTATCATGACCATCATCATCATCATCATCAAAATCAATATTACGATCATCACCATGTTTATCTACAATGAATAAATTGTTTGGCAAATTATTATCATCATTATTATCAACATTATTGGTAGGATTTTCGTCAAGATCTATGGAAATAAGATCAACATTACGATCGATACGATTCAATATTGATGCATTTGTATTGAAAACAATATCTTCTAATAATTTTTCTTCGTTATTGATGATGTTTTTCTTTTCATTTTTCAATTTTTCATCATCATCATTACCATCAATATTACGATATTTTTGTCGATTTAATTTTGATAATTTTTTCTTTAATTTTTTACGTTTTTTCAATAAATCTTTATCCAATAACGGGCGATTTTTAAACATTTTTAAGAAAATCTTTTTTGATATTTAAAAATCAAAATAAAAAAACACGTGGTGCTCGACGAAAAAAAAAAAATATTTGTTATGTTTACGCATAATGTGTAGTCACAATGAAACAAACTATCATACATAGCACATTTGGCATAAATCGTTTTGACCATTGTGACTACAGCAAAATCAATTTTTCTCTCAAAACACCATTTCAATTGTGGATCGACGATTGATTTTGACTGAAGAAAAAAAATTATTACAAAAATGCGAACGTAAACAAAATCCAAATCTTGACGACGATAAATCGATCGTTTGAGAGAAAAGCAAAAGGAAAAAAAATTTCAATTTTAATTGATTTGATCCATCGGAATTTGATTCAATCAATGAAATCAAACCAAAAATTTGTTCCCAAAAAAATATGAAAAATTAATTGAAATTTAAATATGAAACAAATTCAAGGTGAAATATCTGTTCGGGCTTCTTCCAACATAATAGCGATCCTTGTGGTCCTGATTGGGTGGTTTTAGAGTCCTTGACCTTTCCGGAAGAGCTGGGTCGGTAAAGCGTGGTACTTATAATGCAGTATGCCTTATGCTATGCCAAGATCCGGAGTTCGAGCCTCCGTTCCGGAATAACCATTTGGACTTTATTACCAATGATTTTTTTTTTTTTTTGAATTTTTTTTCTAATTAATCATCCTTTTACGCAAGACAACAACAACAAAAAAAGAAAAACAGCAATTCAAGAATAGTAAGAATATTTTATTTATTTTACATAAGAATCAATGGCAAAAAAATAAAAAATCATCATGCAAATACCAATTTATACAATGTAAGTTCATGATATTTTTGTTGAATATATTGATATTTTTTCCAATAATGTAATGTACTTAAAATCAATACAAACACAGTAATGAAAATGCCCATTAAAATTAATGTCTGTTCAAATATTGCTATTGTTTGATTAATTGCTAATTGATTTTTATCTGGATGATGATAATCATCTGAATGATAATCCGATGAATTGATAATAACCATTGAATTTAAAGGTAGATCACTGAAAATTGCTGAAAAAAAAATCTTGAATTGGAAAGAAATTTTCAAGATTTTTAAAGCCACAATTTTTTAATTTGATTTGATTAAATTAATTTGGGAAAAAATTCAAGAAAATTTTCCTGGGAAAAATTTTTTTCAAAAAAGTTTCCCGCCTAAATGAATGAATCAAGTTTGAAATTTTGTGTTGTATTTGATGATGATGTGAGTTTTGAATGAAAATTTTTGATCAAACTCTGTTGATTTGAAAAGCAATTTCAGGCCGAAAATCGTTGTTTTCCCGAAAAAAAAATGTCAAAACCAAGTAATCATCAATCAATCATCAATCAATTATTGTATTCACCATTCGATCTGTTATTGATTTTACTGACCGAATCAATAATCCAAAAGTTTTATCATTCATTTCAAACGGATAATTTTATTCGATCAATATTGAATTTTCTTATCAAATTAATCATTACAATAATAATATCATTAATTTTCTATATGGCCATTCAAAATCTAAGTTCATTTCAAATCAAACGTGAATTTATCTTTCTCATAATGTTTCTATTGATCATGATTCCTACATTTATTATGCTCATTTTGATGGACCAATTTTTCAATAATCAAAAATTGATTGGTAAAAATCACCTGAATAGGATGATTAATTCAATTAATAATTCAAAAATGTTTTAAAAAAATTGTAGATTTATTAACATTGTTTTTATCAATAAAATTTATTTCAAACTAGATGGCAGCACTCGTTCTAAAAATTTATTTATTGAATGAATATTGATTTTTTTGTTTGGTTGTTTGTTTGTTACGGTAATTTTTGATGAAAAAAATCAGTGAATCAATTTTTTGGCTGATGAAATCCATTCCAATCATAAAGATCTAATTTTGATTCAAATCCAATGAATCGTTGAACATTTTGAAATAATTCACCTAGATTTTGATAATTTGGTTTTTCATCAAACGATAATTTTCGTACATCGGTTAAATATTGTTGAAATTCGGGTAACATATTTTGACAAATTGTTGATAATGATTTTTCTTTACAAACAGCAATACGTTCATGACATTCTTCTTCATTCGGATTGTTTTCCAATTCTATCCATGGTAATTCACCACGAAATAAATATGCTAATAAATAACCAATCGATTCAAGATCATCACGACGACTTTGTTCGACACCACGATGTGCATTGATTGACATATAACGTATATGTGTACCAATATGCAATGGACCACTTGCTGTTTCCATTGTAATGTGTG